GATATTAGAGAGAGAATTATGACCCGTTTCACTTCCTAACACGAGCTCTAAGCAGCTTACGATACGATCAAACAATGAAATAATCGATAGCTGCAGCCCTCATCTAATCCAGTATTTTAACTTCATACTGGCATACCAAATGGCATGCTAATCAGAGTTATGTTTCACGTTCAACAACATAACTGCATAATACTGGCTTTGTACACTAGCGGTAAGAATGTTTATAATGCAGCCTCAGCTTAATGAGCTATTTTAACACGCTGGACACATTGGATGGGGTGTCAGCGAGTCAGCAACAGGACAACCGTGTTGCTGCAACAAACTTTTTAATGTCCTCCGATTGTGCTACGACGGCATCAGCAAGCATTCAACATGCTGGAGCTGCAGAGAACAAACACGTCCTGCTGCCCACGACTTCCCGCATTGTTGTCAAGTGAAAAAGAGGAAATGGGAACAATGACATTAAATAATTATTTGGGCAAAATCCTTTTCCTCTATCTTTCCCAATGCGAACTGTGCTAACATTGTGTTGTATCCCTTTGAGCCATTGATACTGGCGGACTTCCATTTGTGCAAGTCATGCTGATTTCCCCTGGTCACAGTCCAGGCGGGTGTTTGCCAAGGCAACTAGGGCAGTAGGTGCTTTGACTCAGTGGCCAGCTGCGTGGAGCTGCTGCACAACTGAACCACTCACTGAAATAATGCGCTGTCTGAAAAGCGCTTCATGTCTACTCCACCAAGAACGAAGCTGGACAGGAGACGCGGCCTAAAAATAACAGCGTTGGCCGATCAGAGCTCGGTGCGAGCACACAAAACAAAGTACCTGAAGTAGGCTCACTGCTAGATCCTCAAGCACTGTGATAACAGAACACGATACGGTAGAGTGACAAATATCAAACCGTGACTACCTTCAGAAAGGTTAGTTCAGTGTTCAGGAGGGGGGCTGAGAGCGGCTCCTCTCCTCCTGGGTCAGTCTCGTGTCACAAGGTCAAGGTGCCCAGATCTGGTGGAAAGGGAGTCGCGTTTCACACACAAGCCAACCGTGTGCCGAGCTGAGACGAGGTGGACATTGCTTTGGGTTGACAGTAACAGAAATAACTAGCGATACCGTAGAGTAATATGTTGATTATTTTCTTGAGTAATCATTGAGTTGTTTGGTCTATAAAATGGTGAAAAATATTGATCAGTGTTTCCCAAAACCCAAGACGACATCCTCAAATGTCTAGTTTTCTTCACAACTCAATTATATATTTCATATAGGAGTTAAGAGACAGGAAAGTATTTGCTTTTAAGCTAGAATCAGAGAATTTTGACTCAAACCGATTAATCGAACGGTGGACAACTCATCGAAAGGTTGTTGCAGCTCTACTTTGTCTGCCACCTCTACAGTAAGCTCAGGGTTGCAGTCAGCTACAGAAGAGCATCCCTGCAGCACAGTACGGCTTCACACTGCCCGACACTGTTTACCAAATGGCTGCAGCTCCTTCACACACATCCAAATAATTTTACCATAAGAAATGACAGCACAAAATGTGATATGCACAATTTGGATTGTGTAACCTGGGCGTCTTCCTCGTTTCTGTGCGCACGCACTTCGCAGCAGCACGTGTCGAATAGAGCTGCGTGGAGAACATGTGCGGTGTGTTACACAGCCTCAAGTATATGAACAAATGTATTCGGCACAAGATGACAGAATGTCTTACAGCTCCAGCTCTACTTCTGCTGAGTGATAGCTGCAAGACGTGCTTCTCATTTGGTCCTATGGAGCCAGAGCACTGCTGGTTTCAACCCACCTGGTCGCGTGACAGGTGTATTTCGGCAGACCAGCAGGGCTCTAACTCCCGGCGGACACCACTGGCTTTCATGCGTGAAAAATACCCAGCATTCACGGTGCTGGTTGTGTCTTACAACCTGCTGCAATACTTACTTTTGTCCTTCCATTTATTTTGTAGTTTCCCAGTTTGCCGTTACAATGTCTGATCAGGTCGTCCATGCGACTCATTAGAACGCGGATCGTCTCGCAACCGGCCTCCCTCCCCTCTATCCACGTGATTTTGTCCCCTCGTATGTCTTTAGTGGAGTCGCTTTTTTGACTGACCAACTGTCCGTCCGTGAACTTGCCCGTTTTGTGCAGCGCTTGGACATTTTCCAAAATGCCTAACCCGGTTTCAGCTCCTAAATAGTTGTCCACCACGCAGATGCCGTGCTTGTTCATGCACGGGACTATGTACTCCACGGCGAGTTTCTGAGGGGATGAGCTGGTCTGTCCGTTAGGTGTGGCGGTGTTGTTGGACCGGTCCTCTTTCGGTCCGTCATCGTCCCCCGATACCTCTGTGTTTGTGGGTTGTGGCAGAGACGCACTGTCCACCTGCTCGGGACTTATCTTTTCCCGGTTTTTCTCCGGTGCCTTGTCGTCCCCCGACGGCGGCGGTGGAGGAGGAGGCGGCGGCGGCGGCTGCTCGGGCTTCTGTTTGGGAAGCTGCGCCTTGTCCGTCTCCTTACAAATAAGCTTGTGTTTCTTCCAGTGCTGTTTCTGGTGCGCCTTGCTACAGTAGAAGGAGCTCCGGCACCTACCACACTTGAGGAGGTTCTCCATTTTCCCACAAAGTTCACAGTACTGCTGGTCTCGGTCCAGATCGCTCTGCTCCATGTTTGCGGCTACACCGGGTGCACTGCGCCTTTAATTCCGATCCTTCACACGCGCCCTGCTAACAGACAACTTTGGAGTCGATCCTCAGCCTCTGCCACGCTACACTGAGCGAGACGGAAAAGTAAGACTCAAAACCCCGCCATTTTATCAAACTGGGTCCTTCTCCATACCTTGTATCAGTGAAATAATGCACCAACGTGCGCCCTGGACCGAGCATTTCGGGCTTGGTCGAGGACTTCGGCGGGCTAGCTGTCGGTCCAAGGGTAGTGCATGGCGCCTCTCGGTGTGTGTGCTCAGCCTGTCTGTGGGCCTGCCTGCTCTGACGTCACACACAAGCACCGCCCCCCTAGTGCTGCCTTCGCGGGCTGTCGGACAAACGACGACGTTCATGATGTGGCTTGAGAGCTGCTAAAAAAAACGTGGAAGTCGTTAATTTAAGCGAATAGGGAGCATGTCCTTGTTCATGTATGATTAAGCCCGCCTCCGGTCAATCAACAAAATAATACACACAGTAATATAGTAATATGTGTCATCTTTACCAGAGCACTCACCTCCAGTTGTGCAGCCTTAGTGATTATTCTCTATAATCATGTTCACTGACAGTTAAAGGTATAAGTAAATGTAGGCTACTCAGGTAGTGCACAGTGCTTAATAAGTACAATTTTGAGATATTTGTACTTTACTTGAGCATTTCAATGGTATGCTACTAAACACTACTCAACAGTAAATTAGTTCCACCTTAGCTACATCATTACAATGCTACTTACAGATTAATGCATTTATCCAATAATATTCAACGATATTCATAATATATAAAAATGATACAACAGTCTGAATATCATGGAATGAACTGCATGTTAAGTACTTTTTAAAATACAAATACATCTGAAGAACTAATTAATCTGTACTTCTACTGAAGTGAACTTTTGAATAAAACACCTTTACTTGTAATGAAGAATATTTACAATGTGGTAATGCTATTTTACTGAGCTAAAATACTTGAATTATTGATCCATAGATATGTGCAGGAGTGTTTTTTGTGCAAAATATTGTGAATATGGAAAGTGTGTCTGCACTACAGTTAAAGGACAAGTGATGTAGGCTGTCAAAGTTTTGGCTTAGAGCATCGCTGACAAATGTGACAAATGTTATTGCTGCAGTAGCACAAAGTAGCTCGCTGCAGCTTGAGTTCTAAAATCACGCATTATAATAACAGTTTATATAATTATGCATCATATGATGTATAATTATCCACTATATATATTATAAAATGTGATGTATAACTATCCACTATATATATTATAAAACATAAACTTATTTTGAATAACAGAGTAATTGAGAAAACCCAGCAGGTCGAAAGCTCGAATATAAGAGCTTGACTGGAGCACCTGAAGGCATCGTGGTTGAACGTCGGTGTTGTGCCCTCATTCCTGGCTCGCATGTGTGAAATTCCTTTCACACAACAAAAGAATATTTTGCATAAATATTTTGCGGGTTTTACATAGACTGATCAATGAGTTAGTGGGCGGTTATGAAGCTCGTGATTGCGCTTTATAGGGACTTATAACGACCATCGGAATGCATATTGTAACACATTTTGATTCGATTTTTTTTTTTTTAAATGAAGCACCACCAAGCATCGTCTGAATATACCATTATATACACTGATGGGGTTCAGTCACTGATCAAATAATAGAAACCGGTGATTGAATGACGGGGAGTGTGCTGTGCAGAAGCAAGGCGCAAGCTCGAGTTGGCACCAGACGTATGGCACGTACACAGTCTGCAGGAGTCCCTGGAGGAGGGGTTACAGTAGAGAAGCGAGTAATCGGATCAAGAAAGGTTGGATGAAACATACTTTAACAGCAAGAAATGACACCGGCCAATCTAGGGTGGCAGTCTGGAGATGTATGGTTGCTCAACCTGGGTTTTTACTTGAAACAGAGAGTATTTTAGCTCCAAGGGTGGGCACGTGTGGGCACTCCCTATTGAATACATTTTACATAGGAGCATGCCTATAATTTGTAAATATAGTTTCTGCAACAATCAATCACACACAGAATGCTTCATAAAATTATTTTAGAAACATATCATTGGATATATTCCAGGTCAAGCACATCTTAAAATATACAATTAATTGTGGTCGGTCTATAGTTTAATTTATTCGTAAATGTTTTTAATTATTTAAAAAATAAAAAATATGCAAATATGACTTGACTATGTTGGGAAAATGCCGTAATAAAACAAATGTCACATTCTGATGGTACTACATCTCCCATAATGCATTTCCCGTTCCCTGCTACGTGTATATACAGCGCCGAAGCCCCGCGAATAATGCTGACCACATGGATGCCTGTTATTAAAAACAAGTAAACACGATTTCTTTCGCATTGTTGGATGTTTAGACTTTATTGAGCGATGGTAGCTTTCATGTCTAAACGCATCTGTTTTGTCTGGTGCTCTTTGTAACCCCTGACGGGTGTAAAGCACCAGTTTACGTTACTCTGCCTCGTTACAGTCGGTCGGCAGCACGGACTTGTGTCGCTAAAACAGTTCCATTAAATAACTAACAGCCTAGACCGAGCTTATACGTGTTAAATATATTTAAAGAAGACATTTCAACACCGCAGGCATGAATAGGCGAGAAGGTAAGTCCAGTTTTGAGACTCGACTCAGAGTAGCAACGTGTTCAGGTTATTGTTGGTTGTTGTCATCAGCGCGGTAACTCCAGTAAAACGTGTTCATAAAGTAGTTAGCTCACATTAACATGTGCTATGTGCTATGCTAGCTGTAAACACTGAACTGTAGAGACATGATTCGTGTATTGCTCCACTCTTTTTACAGCACTGCTAACTGAGTTTCTGTATGTGTTAGTGTTGGTCCTAGCACCATAGGGGCTGTAATGATCAATTATTCTCATTGTTGATGAAACAGACCGCTGTTTTCTCGTTTAATTCATTATTGATTTGGTCTGCAAAATGTGTGACTAGAAAACAATGCCGCAAACCCAAAGTTAGTCTCCAAATAGCTAAGTTAGCTAGTCGCTTAATTATCATAGAAAACGATTGAACTAGGCAGATACAACGTTATATGATTGCAAAGCTGAAACCAATGATTGTTTGGGGGGGAATTTGTGATTCAAAACTGCATTAAACGATGAAACTATTATCAAAATTATTGCAATTTATCAGCTCTTTGCTTAAGTTCAAGAGTTTCTCCAGTATTACACTTGCATTCAGTTTGTGGACTTATGGTGAAGAGACAGATTAAAAAAATAATAATAATGTAATAAAAAATATAATAAACAATTGTCAAAGTATCCTAATTTTGACTCCCAAAAATGGGCCAAGCTAAAAAATAAATCCAGATCCTACAATTCCCACAATGCATCTCTCTACTGGTGTCTTTTGTTAGTCCCCCATGCTGTATGCACACCATGTGTGTTTCAAAGCTTCATATCCACCGTTTGTTACACAGACCGTTAAATATGTAGTCTTTAAGTCCACAGCTCACGTCTAAATACTGCTGTTAACATCAGGGTAAATATGACTAAACTTGTCTCCATGTACCAAATCGGTGGAGCGCCTCTCTGATTTGCCAAGGCCAGTTTAGAGAAAGTGACTTTTATTATTGAAGACGAGCTGCAGCTTCACCGGACTCTTTCTGCCTCGTGTCAGGTGAAGGATGTCCCCGGAGAAATGCTGATGCGGTGCAGGATGCCAACTCATCCTCACCTGTCATTGCTGCTTTCAAAGGTAACTGCATCCTCAGCATTTTCACTGCATTCTCCACCCAAATGTTCTGCTGTAATTTAATTTGTGTTCAGACATTATCACTCAAACTAACCTTTTTTGTGTTTTTCCTCCTGTCTTTTAAGTTTTCCAACAGGAGCTCGACACCAAACACGACAAACATGAGCGTCTCGTTAAGATCAGTCGAGACGTCACCATCGAAAGCAAGAGGACCATTTTTCTTTTACATAGAGTGACCAGGTATATACTGTTGTAACACCAGTTTGGAACGTGTTGGAGGATTTCTCGCTAATTTGATGATTGACATGTATGACAAGTTTTTTTTCCAGTTTCAAGAGACGGTTGTTTGAATAACGCAATGTAACTTCTGCTTTAGAGAGTATTTTAAAGCAACGTGCATCTTGCAGACTTTGCATTTCTAATTTTTATTCTGTGTGTTCTTCCGGGGCTGGAAGTGTACCAAATGCAGATGATATTCTGAAAGAAGCGGACGTGAAACTGGATGCAGTCAGGCAGAAAATTGGTCAAATTGCCGAAGAACTCAGAGGAGAGGACATCTTTCAGTTTCACAGAGCTTTCACAGCAGGTGAGTTTAAAGTTGACCCTTTTTTTGTTTAAGAAGCCCTTTAATAAAATGTACATGATTGTCATTATCTTTATGATATTGCAGTTTTTAATGAGGGTGCATGTGAAAATGTTCAAGGTTAAGTTTTCAGAAAAACACGTGATGTAAAGACTTAAAAATGAGCAGAAAATACTTTTGGTCCTTTTCAAAAATCTTTGATAGGTTTATATCCAGTTAATGAGAAACATAAATATTCTAGCATAAATTAGCAGCTAGGATATAGAGCCATGTACAATAAGGCAACAAGCTAACTCTTTCTGCCACTCTAGTGGTCTAGCTGTAGGGATGGTTGTGTGTCCACTTTAGTCCAGACTGAAATATCTCAACGACATTTTGCACAAACATGCATGTCCCCCTCAGGTTGCTGCTGAACACCAGCATGTTCAGCTCAAGGGACTGCTGACATTACAGCCCCACGGAGCCACATGGCTGTACTGTGTCCTCCAATACCCATAATACCATACTATTTAGTATGCCAGAAATACATTTGGTATGTCCCAATATATAGTATGTCAAATGCAGAAAATACCAGAATGACCTATTACATCCGGTGGCATTTTGCAGTATGCGAGCCAGCATGCTTTTCTGGCTATTCTGACCCACAATCCTGTGCGCAGCAATATATGAGCAAGAGGGTCAAAGGTCAAGGTGCCATAGTATGAAGTAGTTTGTCCAAATTGACAGTTCGTACTTCGCAAGGGCAGCTGCAGTACGTGCCAACGGTAAAAAGAAAAAGAATGCGATTTGGAACGCAGTGTCAGGAATTGCACCATATATATAATTTCTTTCAATATATTGCATACAAATATATCTTTCATTTCATAAATCTGTCTTTCAGTTTTATACAGTAATTCTGAACTTATTCACCTTCTGTGCAAATAGTCCTAGTTGTCCTGCATTCTAATCTGGCATTAGCACATCATTTTACTACAATGACTTGATCACATTGAGTTACATTTGATCACATGCTGTTCAATCCCGTCCCTCATGCTAAAAGAGGCCACCTTGTGTAGCTGAGTAATGCAAAAAGTCTCGCATTTCTTCAAATGTAATAAATTCCTTATTTGAGAAACGAGCTCCACTAAGGGGCCGTGGTCCAAAATGTAATTAGGATCTCTGCTGAACTGGGGTCCCCTGAGTCGTCCTCTTTGTTGCAAAGTCACTGACAGTGTGAGAGCGTGACCTTGATGCAGGCCTGGATATGATAGACACGCCCTGATAAAACTCTGATCAACTTGTTTCCCCACTAGCATCAATGTCGGTTTTTGTTAGCGTAGCCAACGTGTCTGCGGCGTTGGGAGAAAAGCATTACAGGGAGCGAGGGTGAGCCGTTATCTAGCAGCTGGGGAAGTCATTTTTAGATTGCGGTCACTCAGGAATCACCACTGCAACATCCGCGACGTGACCAGTGGCAGTTCCCACCAATTAGACGCTTCCCCCCCCCCCCCCCACACACACATTTTTATCGTTTTTATTAGATTGAGACTGGGCTCGCTGCTCGGCCTCTCCAGATAATCTTGGCTGGACCAGAAGTCTCCAGGCCTGTGTAATGGGTCTGCTTTTTTTGTTGTTGATATATATAAAGACCATCAACGACGTTGTGGGCTAAATCTGAACTAATTGCCACTGATAACAGGGCAGCGCGGCTCCGGGATAAGCTCTTCAGCTTGACCCAGCTAGCAGCTTTGAGACGGTGCAAACACAAATGTACCGGCAGGGCTTTTTTTCCCAGAGTTCACCTGCAGCTCAGTGAACCACTCGGTGGTCAAACATTGAGCTCAATTAATCTGTAAATTATCTTCAGCCATGCATAAATGTTTATTAAAGCTACTGATCCAGTCAGGCCTCAACTTTTCCAACAGCTGTGCCAGTAAAATCTCTTTTCCTTGAGTCATTGTTTAGACGTCAACCTTTATCTTTTTTTTCGCAGTCTAGTGACCGAAGGTAACCTCTGCTTCAGACTAAATAACACAAACAGCTCCTGGCAGGAAGTTCAGGAACTAACTCTGCCTGCCTCAAAGCCTGTGTCACCTTTTCATGTCATTTCCTGTCCCTCTTAGATTCCCTCTAAGCCCACTGGCAATGTTTAGATGTTTGTTTATTGTTGATAAAGGTTATGGAAAATGTGTCAAATGACTACTAGTACTTTCTACATGAGAATAGGATATGGTCCCGCTTGTAAGCAGTTCATTTAAAGCCCATGACTATGTAAATATTAACTAAGTATTTCTCCATAACAGTAAATAGGAATGGCTTAATAAGCAAAAAAATAATTCTGAAAAAACCCCAGATCATCTAAATAATTAAAAAGTTGATTAACAGCTTCATTCGTAATGAAGTGCTGCCCAATTAGCATATGAAACTGGCACCAGAGAATGTAAACATGTGCATAGATTATGATATATGTGTGAAATAATAATACAACGTACCTCACTCTACTTACCAAGGGCACATCGGGTGCACTGCAGTGTTCCCAGAGCCAAAAATAGCACAGAGATGCTGCAGATGTAAAACACAGTCAGTTCACAGACGGTTAGTAGGAATGTAAACACGTGTGTCCACACAGTGTTGATTTACAATGACAGAAATCTCTCTTTGGAAACAACCAAAACCTTTCAGAGTTTGGCAGAAAATGTGTCTAAGCACAGGACTCCATCGCTCCGAGATACTGACTGAGATCATATTTTTTGGGAGTCCTTTCAAAATTCATCATGACTAAGCTCTTAAGTCAAGTCGGGACGAATGAGGTGGAGATGAACCACGTTCTCTTCTCGCCTCTCTGTAGCGCGCTGCGGTTCACTACGCTGAGATAGGAGGCTCCCGCGTTTGAAGTTCAATTGCCATTCCGAAAGTAAACTTCAGACACAAAGTCTTCCATCCTGTGATTATTTGATGGCTGTTTACACGGGGCCAGAAAACAACGCAGCTCGCTACCAAAAAAAAATGACCACAATCAAAACGACAGCGACAGGCAACAGGTTTTATTTGAGTCATTATCTACATCTAGGATCTACACTGTGCAGATAGCATGCAGTGTTTATACACACTCTACATGCTGTGCTCATCTGGTACACAGTTGATCTGCATGTATTCCGTTGGCGGTCCATTTCAATGTGATTTCATGCATTTAGGAATCCAGGAGTATGTGGAGGCCGTGTCTTTCCTGCACTACATCCGCCATCGCAGCCTCATCAGCCTGGAGGAGATCAACGCCAGTCTGGTGTTCATGAGACCGGAGAAGGTAGATGACAAGGTAAATTTAAAGAAGCTGCATGCACTTGTGTTTGTTTTGTCATCTCATGTAGAGTAGCAAAACCATCTCAGTACGGAGCGGTATGGCACACAAAGGCAACATTGGGTGTAACCTTGTACCACAATTATGTGTCAATATGTCACGTTATCCACTCAGCCGGCTATTTTTCGAAGACGACGGGTGCCTGTTGATGCAGGCAAAATTGCTTGAACCTCAATATTTCAAAGCATCATCACCGTGCTTGAGAAAAATTGGAGTTTGCTTATTTGAAGCCCGGCCGAAGCAGAGGGAGACAACATAACAATCACATTTTGCAAATATTGCTATCTGCATCAATCTTGTGTGTAAATCCTGCCGGGAGAAGAATTTCTAGGCACAATCTGTCTAAAAGCAATCATCCCTAAAAGTATTCGTAATCTCTGTCTCTTTCTCGTCGTGTTTTCCATCTCAGGGCTCAGCCGAAGCGCCGCAGGCGGGCGGTCCGGTTCTGACCTTCCAGGTGACGCCCTCCGACTACCTGCTCGGCGTGGCCGACCTGACCGGAGAGCTGATGCGCATGTGCATCAGCAGCGTGGGCAACGGCGACATTGACACGCCCTTCCAGCTGAGCCAGTTCCTGCGGCAGATCCACGACGGCTTCTCCTACATCGGCAACACGGGCCCGTACGAGGTGTCCAAGAAGCTGCACACGCTGCGGCAGAGCCTGGGCAAAGTGGAGGACGCCTGCTACGCCCTGCGCGTCCGCGGCTCGGAAATCCCCAAACACATGTTGGCCGACGTGTTCTCCAGCAGGACCGCACACCTCGACCCCGAGGAAGGAGTGGTTTGATTCCCGCGCAGCCTCTGCAACGTTGTTCACGATCTCTGTGGTGTCATTGTCCGCTTTAGTTGTGATCCGGTTTGATGTTTGTCTGTATTTTTAATGGAGTTTGACGGATGTTTGATTATGGTTTGTGACATGCTTGTTAATTTTGTTTTTATTGTTCGAATAAAAACAGTGTTACAATAGACAATGTATTATTTTTCTTTGATAAGGATCTGATGACTTCAGTTGTTTTTGCATGAATAAAAGTTCTGTGCCAAATATGCCATGCTCTCCCAGTCTGTAAGCTGCTTTGATAATGTGTGTTTATTTTATTTTGCTCTCTGCCCTCCCCTCTCTCTATCACACAGATAATCTAAGGTAGAACTATTGGCTGCTTGCACACACTGCATACTGTGTGGAGGAGGATCATGTGACCTTTGTACATTGTACGTGCCTGTTCTCTGGCAGGCACACACACACAACCCATTACTTCCTTATTCTAACCTCTCTTTAACAGTCCTCACCACTGCAATGACCTAAGTTCATAAGGTTTTGAGCACGGTGAGAAATATTCCTGGCAGAAAACCAATACGCTCCTGCTATTTTCTCACCTGTTCATCTGATGGTGGTGATTATTACCATCCAGATAGACAATGCTGCTGTGTTCAGAGATGGCCTCAGACTAATGCCTGCATAGTCTATGATGAGTCAGATTTAACTTAAGAGAAAGTGTAACTGGTGAGTCTACTGCAACATGACCTCTGTAGGTTTTCCTCTTTCTGTTCTGAAGCAGCTGTTGTGCTTCACGGTCTGCAATCGCTCATCTCTCATAACGTGGAGCTTTAGGATGAAACATTATCCGTCTCTGATTAATTCAGTTTCATGTCTAAAAATGTTAGGCATTTGGTATTCAACCACAAAGAAGATCATCTGTCATTGCACTGCTCTTGGTGTTCTTTCTATAGGCAGTGAGAGAAAGGGTTTTCATTGACACCTTGTGGTTAATATGAGTACTACAAGTGGATAACTTGAATCTTCAGCATAAAACTGAAAAACATTTTGTAGAAATATGATACACTGCTGTTGACATTTTTTAGTTAAGTCTTTTATGTATGATTAATTTGAGTTTATTAAGGTAGTCTGAGAGACGGAAAGACTGGCTGGTTTGTTACTTTTCTTAGGTGTGTAAATCAACTAGGCAGTCCAATCAAGGAACACACATTTGATGGTATGTATTTAATGTATATTAAACATTCAAATGGGTCTTATAAAGGCTCTGTCCACATGCTTACTACCCAGTTTGTGTTTATTTCAAAGAAAAATGTAAAAGAAACATTTTATGTGTCGCATGAGAGCTATCACAACCTGTATACAAAGATAACATTTTAAACAGCAAATAAGAGGTCATGACCTAAATAAAGGTTAATTCACAATTGAGCATTTAGTAACAGGGAGCTGCAACATGGACATCATCAATCAAGATGTTACTTTAAAACGCATCAAAGAAAAGAATACAGATAGCGGTGTCTGCTGGAGACAACATGCATCAGCAGGAATAATGCAAACCAGCTCGTTAACCCAGACATGACAGCACAGGTGTAATTAATGACACTAACGAGGGCTGCATTACATCTAGGTGTTCTAGTACCAGACTTAATGCCACACCTGAACTGAATCAAGCCATCGTTAACGTTATTAGTTACAGCTGTGCATCTGCTGCTATGAGAAGTTTGCAATGCAGAAATTAGCAATGTGGTAAATTACACCTGTGTGAGACAAAAAAATAATAATTCAAGCCACATTTCTTTTGCAAAAAGTAACTATTTTAACGTATGAAGCCGTACAGCTTGCAGCTGACTTCACAACCGCTCCAAAAAGTACCATAATGGGTTTCAGGTCCAAGCCCACTCTCCAACATGCCTTCTATATGCTGTGCAGTGGGACGTGACACCAAAGAAGGAGACTCGAATGTTTACAGCATAGCGAGCTAACGTTAGCAAACCTAAGTGTTAGCCTGCTAAATTAATACAGAGGAGTTCATGTAAACTTGCCTTTTTTAAATCAAAGACATGTAAGAGACCTTTCAAACAATAGATCGATCAGGGTGAATCCCCATTCATTCAACACAGCTTCTAATCATATAGCGACCAGAGCCATAGCGTTAATTATGGTGCAAGATCCGAGATTGGAAGCATTTTGATTGCCTCTAAACGGCCCTCAAGATGTCGACGCATACAGCTCTTTTACTTTAAACCCGAGCGACCCCAGTACCAAAGGCAGTTGTGCACATTGCAACAAACATAAGGACATGTTAAACATGTAGCAGCAACATATTCATCCTTCATACTCGCACAACGGGAAGGTCGTCTAAAAGCTCATTTAATTTTACATTAATGAAACACAATTCAAACACCAAGCAACTAAATGAGCAAAAAGCAAAAAACACAGATTCCACTGGTTACTTAAGTCTTATCACTCTTAGACCAAAACTCACTTTACCAGCAGCTGAACAAGAGAAAGAAAATAAACTTACAGCCATAACCACAACAAATTATGTTGAACCGTGGCTGTTCTGTGATTAAAAGTTGAGTTCACGTGCAAGTCAACGCTGCTCATGGCTACTCCAATGTCTCTGGATTGTGTCTGAGTCGATTCCAGCCATCTGTATTCATTTGCATGGAGGAAGATTTGCAGCTTTCCTCCAGCAACGAACAGCCCATCCTCAGCCTTCCATGACAAAACACAGTCTATGTCTCCATCTGGTGGATGAATCGTGGTACTGCACGCATCCTAAAAGTCGCATGACTGTAGAGCGATGTTGGGTGCCCTCCTCGAATCCTTGCAGGCTAAATTTAAAATCCCATTCCAGTTCATTTCAAAATTTAAAGTCAAAATGCCTGCTGGGGAATAGTTTTTCAGGTTTTCAAAAGCGTTCAAAAACCTTAGAGGCGGATTCATTTTGCTTCCAATCATTACTACTTGACAGGTGATGGCACTAGATCGAACACATTTCAAACCTTTCTGCAACACATCTCTCTTGCCCTCGACAGTGTCCTAACTAAGTATGAAGGCTGCCCTCTGTTGTGTCGGCTGAACTGAGCTCTTTATCACGGAGTCTTGTCCATCAGCCAGCCGCGCTGAATGAAAGGAACATTTGGATGTGTGGGAAGGAGGATGAAAAGACTCTGCTCTATGTGGGGTCTCTTCTCATTCATTCCCTCGCTGCATGAACAAAGGAAGACTTTTGATTTTACGTCAGGATGTTAGGGGCGTCTAAAAATATGCAAAAATAACGTGCATTTTTGCACACGAACAATTACTTGACTTACATATTTTAAATACATTTGAGTAAACACTGTAAACAGTGTCAACAGTGCAGGGACACGTGTCCAAATATATGTCAAGTTATTCCATTCCATTGTTTGACACAACAAAATAGAACAAGAGCCATTGAAACAATAATTAGTTATGACTCTCATTGCAAAACCCAAAAAACATTATTGATGTCAAAGTCTTTATTATTTCTACCCAACTTTAGATTTGTTTGTGTCATTTTGATTTAATTTAAATGTCAACAGCCCTAGTAGCTACCTTTGCACGTTTAAAATGCGAAGCAAAACACAATAATGCCAACAATAATAATGTTCATTACAACATCCTAACTTTGTGCATTTGACATTGTAATAGTTTGCGACTTTAACAGAGTTGGAGGTCGTATGACTGCATGTTTTTCTATTTAAATATTCAATTTTTCCTCCACCAGCTGTAGCTGTAATGTTCTAAAATAAATAAAGCCTGCATATGCATACACACAGAAACAGCAGCCGCTGACCCGGTGATGTGTCCGCCGCAGCATTCATAGGCTGACTGCTGTGGCGATGAGGCGGTCTGAAGGAGTCTGGAGTCAAATTCCTGAACACGTAGGAGCTCCTCGCGCTCCTCGCGCTGCTCCAACACGACGCACGACGCACGACACAGGGGCGCAACGAATAACGGATTACTGATCGCTCATCGATGAGACACAGATTTAAATGAATTTGGCCTCTTCTGCCATTATGCTGCACCAAACCGTGGGATGTTTTTGTTCTTCCATTTCTCCACAAGAAACATGACACGAGGATCTTTTTTTTCTCTCTCTCCAGACCGTCTTGTTCATGCGCAACCCACTTGTTTGCCGCAGAGAAGAAATGTAAGACTCTGAAGTACGAGTAGGCTATCAATACTGTCAGGAAATGTTTGTTATGGACAAAAGAGCGCGTGTGGAAAGCCGGTTTCACACGTCATTCCAAAGCGGGGAGAAAAAGCAAAGCCTGGGTTCATTTTTTCCACAACGGAAATGAGATCAGTCCCACTGGCTGGCTGCACTTCTTCTAAAACATGGTCGATGTAACTCCATGTATGTACAGCAGCACCGGGATCTGATACTCGCGTACTTCTGCCCACACACAGCTTGTTGTTAGTGGGAAGATGTTTGCTGGACTGATGGGGCTGGAATGTCGGAGCAACTCTCTGCTTCACCACTGCGAAGTCATGGAAGGTAAAGAAGGCTTTTTTTTTTGGTTTAAACTTATCAACTGCTGTCAACAATCATCAGTAGCTTTTCAGCAGAAGGGACGATGATGAAGTCTAGTTTGGATTCTCACCACATTACTTTAGAATTATAAACAAACAGTCATTATGCAATGAGATAAGGGGGTAAGTCACTTAGAATAAACTAAAGAGGAAAGAAATACACTAGCAGAGTGCTTACATGAGTGTGTGCAGCAGGTCTGAATGTTGTATTCACTGCTGTTAACAGCGCCGGTCCAACTCTTCCAAAACAAGACCTTGTTATTTGCACTGTGAAGTTCAGTGTCACTGAATAAACGGTGTGGATGGAGTCCTCCAGCTGGTTGTCCACAGGGACGCTCACTCACTGTTACATGAACTTTCTTTGATGACGGTAGGTGATGAGTGAGGTTCTTCTCCCCTCTGAATATGAATGTGGAGAGACATATGATGGCCCTTTGCATATTATCTCTCTTGCATAACTTACTTGCATTTTGTGCATACAGACTTTCCAGTAACACATCACTGCTTCTGACAGGCGGTCCATAATCACTTGTCTTCATTCTAACTCTTCATAACCAGACTACCGCTACAATTTTAGTTTAACATCTCACAAAAGCAACACAACTTTCCCTGCAGAACAAAAATCCCCTTTTTTGAAACACACAGCCGGTGTTTTATGTCACGCTACAAAGGACAGCTCGGAATCTCCTACTGTAACACAGCTGGTGAGATTACTGACATTTATTATCCAACACATTGTTGACATTTTGAATAAGTCAGATGAATCCATGTATCAAATGATCCTGATAAGATATAAGAAACATCGGGTGATGAGGCCATGTCATGTGACAATTACTCATTCGGTATAATGGACGTCGAAATGTCAGTTCAATGTCAGCATTTAACATACTAGCAACAAATGAAATAGTATTTTAGGTTTGCTGGGTGTCAGTCTCCCGCTGCTGTACTGCATCTTCACTCAGCTCAACTATACTCTGTTTATGATCCTCGTGTGATCATACAGGAAGTGTGGAGCTGTTTTCTTATAAAAGTATCACCAGAGCAGAGATTGAAATCTGGACTATCATACATTATAGTTCTGTTTCCTGTCAGTCATTATAGACGGGGGGTTTTTTTTTTAGATTTACTTCTCGGTCACCATTGGTCATACTCATTGTCAAACAACTTTCATTTCCCTATTTCTGTTGTCGTGGTCGGTCACAAGTGGCGAGGTGTTGCACATCTGCCGAGCAGTGCTGCTTCTCAGGAGGCCGCTGTAAGCAGATTTGCTGGTGTGTGTGTGTGTGTGTGTGTGTGTCTCAGGGTGCTGAGCTTGTTCTGCAAACGTTTGTGTGTTTATGAGATCCTCTGCATTCCTCTGCTCACGTGCCGAAGCACTTTCAGCAACCAATGAGATGCGTCGTTTAACCTACGGGCTGTGAGGGCCTGTTTAATCCCCAAAGGTAAATAATCTAGCCTCCTCTGGCTGAGACGCTTTCACTTTGCCACACGTTGTGCTCCTCAACACGAGCAACGAGCCGCAATGAGAAAGCTGTTATTGATGCAGTGGGATCACTCGGCCCTCGCTGTTGGGTCTCCCTCTTGCTTATTTGCCGGTTTCTGCCGGAATTCCTGGCAAACTATTTTAGCACAAAGCCTGGCAGGAAGCAGCAAATGACATACCTCTGAGGGGCTTCAACCCGAGATGACGATGCCCCCCCAAACACACACACACACACACAGAGACAGACACAATGGGTCCTGAGGCATTTCCTTCCCCTTTACTGAGAAGAGCTGTCTTTGTGTAATCGAAGCATGATAGCATGAGGATACAGTACCACTTTCCATCAACGGGTGCTTCCCCTTTTCGTTCTTTGACTCTCTTGAGTGCGCTCCACTTTCTATCTTGGCTACACCAGATGGTGGACGTTTGTGTGTGGTCCCTACGGAGAGTGTTGGGTTTCTTGGATTGGTTATGGAACAGTGGCCACGTCTGTAGAGAAACACTAATGGAGCTGTACGCAACCTGAGCTTTAGTGTGGACAGAAGCCACACAGCACAATGGGAACACCCCTGTGTTGCTCTCACTGCCAATCGACTGAAACTGACATCCCAACTCTCCCTTAAAGTCGTGTCTTCTGATGTCTCTTCCTCTCCAGTCACATGGGAGGCTTTAGTAGTGACATCACTGGAGGATCATAGTGGTCATGGTTTGTTTGATGCCCTGAATATAGCTAGAAACAGAATACCTGAGCTCCCATTGAGGAGAAAAGTGTCAGTACAATGTGATGTCCTTACAAGGTACACATGTGTTTGATTGTAACTAATGTATAATCGTGTCATTAAGTGTAACAGGGTTTTACAATGACAGTAGTCTCAATGCCTCCAGTGTTCTCAGTACAAAAGTCTGTGTGTGTGTGTGTGTGTGTGTGTGTGTGTGGGAAGAGAAAATTGAGAGCCAGAAGTGAAGGAGGGCGCGACGCAGCTGTACACAAAGGGGCTTTTGATCCCCAACATTTCAGCCCGTCTCCATCTCTGAATCCTACACGTTACATGCATTAATCCCGTGGAGCTGCAGCAGGTGTCTCGCTCTGAACACAAACCGGTCTTCATCATCACGCTGCACTGTTTTCATCTAGAGCTGTTTTTACTCTGATGTTCTATCACTTCTCATTGCTCGGGTTGGCGTATAATCCCTTAACATGTCATTCTAACAGTCACAATATCAGGTAAATATGAGGGCTGCATGTTTCTTTGCACCTTTCTCTTGTGCAAACACAAGTTCAACTTGAGATAAGGACCTTCCCACTATGTTGACAGTGAACCCGAGAGACCGATTGGCTTATTGATTTCTGCTTGATCAGTTTTTCCTGTCTTCCCTGTCACTAGTCTGTCCATCTTGTATTGAAAGCTGCACTAATCAATATCAAATGAATTAACAACTATTCAAACGACTACATGTACACATGTGGAAGGAGTTGCTTATAGTCACAAACCCAAAGAGAATCCTCCCTGTTGCTCTGTATCCACTGGATGTGTAGGCAACAGTTGGTTTATAATTAACCACATCAACTTTATAGGGTGATCCATTATGATGTCAGGGATGTTTTTAAAGCTTGCAGTTGTTTGTTTTTTGTTCCAACATGAATCACATTCATTGAGCTTTACTTTGTTTTTCAAAGTCAAACCGATTCAAATGTAACTTTCGGGAAGTATTGTTCATGCAGTCTACTCCTCCGCTGAGAGGCGGGCCTTAACTCAAAATGACAGCGTGGCTTTGGTATTTCCCAACAGCTGGAGCAGAACTCTGGGAACTGTCAGACATCTGCCCAAGTTGTTTGTCACTCACTCAGTCAGCGATGCTAGCTCTGAGGGCGGAAGGGCGGGGAGACAGTCATCTTGGTTCGGTTATATCACGATGAGAACGCTTGGTGGCACATTTAGCGTCACATTTTCCTGATGACTCCGTGCATGCACAGCTAATCCTGCCAGTTCTATGAGCTCACTCGTTATCTTCCTCATGACCGTGTTGTCCAGCTTAATGGTTAATCTCTGCATCAACAGGTGGCAGAGCTTCGGGGACAGCTGGCAGCTCCGCTCGTAAGAGGTTTCACCGAAGACCGGGGTACATGAGAGGAGAGCAGTCCAGACTACAGAGCACCACTCATGGGCAGGAGGACGAGGAGGAGGAGGAGGAGGAGGAGGAGGAGGAAGGGAGGTCCACTTGCATTCGGAACGGAAAATCCGGACGTCACACTGACATCACTGAGGGAAGCAGCGCTCAGAATGAGCAACATCCCGATAAACTCACATGTAGCTCCTGGAAGAGTACGAGTTTTCTCTGCTCTGTCACCGCTCCTCTTCCTCACGTGGACTACAGGGCCAGTCATGGTGCATCCAGCCACCAGGGTCCGTCCTCTCTGCCTCAGAAGGAACTCAGGTTAAGGCCGAGCCCGGCCGTCCGGTCCTCACAAGAGGACTCCTTTAACTCCAGCTTCAGTTTCATCCGGCAGTCTCTCAACTCCAGCCAGAGGACAGACGCAACCACTGCCACAGCGCCCTGGGAACCAGAACCACTAAGTCGGTCAACTGAAGCACTTAGTTCGCCTCGGACAAAACCAGCAGCCTTGTCCACTGGGCACAATGTCTCAAAACAGTCAAGTCTTGTCCAATCACCGCCCTCCTGCTCTCCAAGCAGCCGGGCGGAGCAAGAGGAGCCGTCATTGGGCGGGAGGTTTTGGCGAGAGTGTCTGGGGGAGTTCACGGCAGACCTGCCTGACAGTGACTCACGGTCTCTGGACATTGAGATCACCTCCTCCATGTCCGTGGACTCAGACACCGCCTCCGCCTCCTCCGTCACCTCCGGCTACGAGAGCGCCACGCCCACCTCCGACCACGGCTGGGACAACCTGGTGAAGAAGTACGAGGGCGTGCTGCAGGACTGCCTCCAAAACAACCGCACGCACACCAAGGTGGGCAAGAAACGAAACAAGCATGTTTCCCAAAATGTCAGACTGTTGTTTTTAAGACCCAGAACAAAATAGGAAATGTGAGTGTTACCACATATCTTTCTGAGCACCTACAAGATTAACACACAAGTAGATCTATCAGCCTACTCTTTACTATATACTTTGAGGTCATGGGGTCTCATTACAGGAACTCCCTAAGCCTGAAATTACAGAAACATAATTTCAAAATAAATAATTTGGAATAAACTTTGGAATGATGGTCATTGCACCCACACTACTTTTTGTTTGGCCTGTGGCGACTGTTTGAAGTGCATTGCCCTGTGGACTGTTGTGTAATCAGTTGCATCTTCTGCCGGTTGTGTCTGCCTTTCAGATTGAGTCCATGATGTTGAAGCTGCAGAGGCTCCAGCAGAAAGCCATTCAGGATGACGACTATGACGCAGGTGAGCGAAGACTTTCAGTTGAGCCGCTGCTTTAATAAGCGAGTCGTCTCAGCTCCCACGCACTGCAGGTGTGGATGGATTGTAGAGAGCTTCTTGTATGTTTCACCCCTTAAAAAAAATCTTTTTACCACTCTTAATTTTTGATAAAATGATTTTATCCTCTATGTTTTATTTTATACAATATAATTTAAAGTGGGACAGAGAGTTGCAGCAGCGTAACATAGAGTAACTCTTTGGGATTCTCCATTCACTTTGATGTTCCACTGATGTGTTCAGTCAGGCCCCAGACAGTTATCAGTTTGACGTTGAAGATGAGGGGAGATAGAGGAAGTGCCCCCAGTTGTCTTTGTTGGATTTCTTGCTAACTGAATTAGCCGTGGATGTTTGATAAAGCACGTGAGGCTGCGCATTAGTTAGAGCTGAAGAAATGGTTTCTCGTTTACTGGCTCTGACACACATTTTAAATCAAACGTACTGGAGAGTTTAGCGACTTTCACTGTGAAACTACTGAAAGTATGAAAGTAGTAAAGAGTCGGCAAAGCTGAAGCAAAATCCACATTTATTTACAAGAACAACCCGGGGCTTTGTGAACACCAACAGCTTTTGATGTTTTTAACTCTGAAGACTTCGTGGGAAAGTCGTCAAACCTAACAAATATAATCTGGACTTTATTTTCAATCTGTCTCCAGGAAAGAGTTTGGTCGGAGAAAAGTTTATTTTCTGTATTCTGACCCATTTCTTGGACCTTATGACAAGAATAAATGCCAACATCTGCTGTAGACCTTGAACTATTTAAGCGGAGTGATTATTTGGGTCAGTGTGTCTGTTCAGGTTTTCTGTTTGCCTTTAGATATTGTGCATCGCTCCCTCTGACCAGTTCTTTTCCACCCCCGTAAACTTGCTGTTGCAAGAAGTAAGACCTGTTGATTACATTTTCCTGCTGATGAACATCTAAATGAAGGATTCTTAAGATTTAAATAACAGCAAACGTGTCTTCTTGGAAACAGCAAGCTGAGAATTGTTCAGTATGAAGTTTTCTCTCTCTGAGCGCCTTCTAATTAAAGTATAATTTGGTAATTGAATAAGGAGTGAGGTGTGTGCAGACGTGTTATTTCAGTGAATGTAGGCCACGTAGACCTTTCTTACTTTTGTTTCTGTGAAGTCACAAGTTTCTACATTGACTTACTGACTTGAACCTAAGTGCTGGTAACTGAACTTTTCAGTAAATGTTGCTGCATGTTATTTAGTGTGTGTGTGTGTGTGTGTGTGTGTGCGTGTGTTTTCAGCTGAACGTTTTGGGGAAAAGCTGGAGGAGCTGTGCAGGGAGCGGGCCGCTCTGAAGCTGGGTTTACCCTCGAGACAGCCCAGCGTGGCTCTGTTCCTGGAGCGGCTCACACGGGTGGTGCACAGCGCCCTCCAGAGGACAGACTGCAGCCAGTGCAGGTCAGTCACACAGCAACGTTAACAGTAACGCATCATTAGTGTGCACACGCAACTCACACTCTGCTGAGGAAATGAAATGAACATCATGCTCTGTGGTTACTGTGATGCTAATTCACAAGCCCTTTTTTCTGATGTATCAATTTAATATTACAGTAATCATAAGCTACTGTTTTAATAATAAAGTGTGTTCTTTTTCCCTTATTGCCATTTGGAGAACCACATGTTTAAGTGAAACGTCAAGTGAAAGGTGAAAATTGAATTTGAAATTAATTTATCATGAATTATTTCAGATTTCATTTAATAACATTATTTATTCATTTATTAATTTAGAGAAAAATATTTTACTAACGTTATATTGTTAATGACAATTATTACTATTACATGGTTAACAAGATCAAAGTGTTGCTTCACAGCCCTACTGGGTTTGTAGACCTGAAGTCAACAGGTTCTTCAGCATTTTGACAGCTTGATGTGGTTAAATGAAGTTCATTAGCTTTGTCCTGTGATCGGGATCTCTCTTCCATTATAATGTTGTAGGACAGAGCAGTTAGGAAAGGGTGTTAAAAATAGCTCTTGTAACAGGAAGGAAATCAGGTGGGGCCTCTCCAGAGGGTATCCTGAACAACTGCAGCGTTACTGTTTTCCACACATACAGGCATCGGAGTTTAAAATGAGAAAAGAAGCAAGAAAAAAAAAAACATGCCGACAGAGATGTTAGGTCATTTCTGTTATATAGCATGTCCTTCCATTCTACAAGAGTGAGAAAAGCAGAAAGACATCGGTTCAAACCAGGGGCCAACCTCCAGTGAAGTGCCTCACACTCTGAATGGCCAGTCTGTATGGAAGTCCATGAACTGTGCTTCATGGGCACTGTTATACACCTGCCATGACGTAGTTACAGCAGTCATGGCCACTCAGAGACCAGTGAAATAGACTCTTGTTCACAAGAAGAAACACCAGGAGCAGACTTCACCGTTAGTTAATGTAGGCAGCTGCCTGTGGCCCCTAAGGGCCCCAAAACAGATTTATTAGGATGTTTAGATATAAAACTTATTGAACTGTGACAATTCTAAGTCACTGTACCCTAAAGCATTTTACAAAAGGCCCCTAAAGTACTTAACAAAACTGTATACTACGTACTGTGTACTTCTACGTCAGCGGTTATGTTTCAGATTCAGACGTAACTTACAAAATATTACAATTATAATATGATGAATTATTATTCATGAACTATCCAGCGTCACAGCTTTGAAAGCACCACCTTGAACAGACGTTAGGTCAACTTGAGCAGGACTTTTACTGTGGGGTGCACTTGTACTGCTTCCCATATAAGCTCACTTGAAAGGGACCAGAAGGAGCCTGAAATGTGAATGACGGTTATGAACAAATAGAGACGCCATAATTAGAGATCCTCGTCGCCGAGGCTTTTGTAGTGACTGTGGTTTTTGTGACCGGTTGTCAGGGAGACTGTAGAGCCAGACGCGAGGGAGCGGTCCGACTCACTGCAGCGCAGAGATCGCCTGATCCAAGAGAAACGGCTGGTGGAGGTAAACTCACATTATGTAGTTAAAGCCTACAAAGGTCATTTCTGCCATTTTGGGTCAGGTGTGTGTGTAATAAAGTACTGGCAAATAGAAATTATTTATAGAGAGACTTATAGTTGTGCTCATATTTGCAGTCTTCTTCTTCTTCTACACCCTGATAATTAATGCAAAGATCATAAATAAAACCTGTGCAGGAGGAGATAGAAGCACTGCAGCAGAGGCTGACGGAGCTGAAGGACTGCAGCCAATGCCTGGAGCAGCAGATCCAGCGGGAGGAGCAGCAGGTGGAGGCCGAGGAGCTGGAGGGCTCCGTGCTGAGGAGCCGCTCCGTGGCCCAGCTCCGCAACATGAGCCGGACCCTGCAGGACCTCGTCACCTCTGAAAACCGCGCGCAGATCTCCGTCTCTCCTTCGCCCTCGCTGCTCAGGTGGGCGTCACATGTGTGCAGAATATTGTGTCACGTGGCACGACAAGTGTACCAACTGAAAAAAGAAAAGTGGCACAGGAGTTGATTTGGGGAAATTTACAGATTTTTTTACGTGAGCAGGCGCATAAAGACATCTTTGCACATATTTATGGCTTTTTGCTGGCCAGAAGGTGTATGTACCTCGGAGAAAAAAACGTGCGAATGGATGTGGAAAAATGTAAATTACAATGTGAGCCTTGGGAATGTTCTGTGAAGAACCATCTTCACACATTACACATTTGCATTTTACACGTTATTGTGATGTTTCTTTCCTCTATTAGTCAGGGGCGTCGGACTTTGATCGGTTGAGGGTGAACGTTGCCGAACGCCATGACTGTGAAAATCATATGGGCCCCACACATACATGGTCTTTACTCAGAAGTGATCTGATTTGGCTGAAGGTTGCACTTGTAGTATACTTGATAATGAATTGATTGATTTCATTATTATATTATGCTCTTAATATATACAATATATATCCTAGAAGACATAGAAGATAAACCTCAAATATGTGCTCACAGTCCAGGCGACAGTAATTTTGACAGTAAATGGCAGAAAACGTATCAGTTCTCACAGTTCCTGCAGTGCTGTCAGTCACCAGGTGGGGCTGCTAGAGAGCTGTGAGAGGGCGTGACACGACAACACTCATCAGTCCGTGAATGTTTTCCCTGTATCAAGTCACGTATTCTCTTATCATTAAATGAGCTCGTTTAGAGGACGACGTGTCGGAGCAGATTCTCTCTTTCGCGAAGACGTTGCCTCCCAGCTTCGTTGGTCCTCCGACAGACAAAGTGGCGCTTTGCATAAATCTGGCAGCGGGACCGTCTTGTCTCGTACCAAGAAAAGTACAACCGAGTCAGAAGCACACCGTCATGTTTTCAACCCAATTAACATCTCAACTGATAGAAGAGCTTCCACGGTGCAGATATCGTGTTTTCAAGTACAACAAAATAGCCAAAAGTGTGGAGGATGAACACACTCCTCGTGAGTCGCTTTGAACAAAAGCAGCAGCCAAATGAATGTAACCTAAATGCAATACTTGTGCAAGACTTTCACGACGAATGATTTGCTTATCTTCAGGTTCAGAGAGGACGCATCAAGCAGCCTCAACTACTTCCTCTTTATTCCTCGAATCCCCCTGTGCCCCTCAATCCTCTTCGCCCACACCTGCTTGAACCTGCTTTGAATTTGAATGGCTTTTCCTCAGATGCAAATGATTACTTTGCATCGTATCCTCTGAAGTTAACAGCTTGCGACGGAGCGCCGTGGAAAGCCTCTCTGTCTTGCCACTCATTAGAAAGACGTGTAAATTGTACTTATCGCCTTCTCGTGTGGCGTGACCCTCCATCACGGGCATAATTTGATATCTGACGTATTCTCACCCCGACTGGAACGCATTTATTCTCGCGACTGATTGAAATTGCGACCTCAGATTGGATGTTCAGCCGCACATCTCCAGGTGGTGTGCTTAGGGTCATCAGGATGATTTTGTGGCTTGCGGTTCCCTTCCCCCAAATAACAGGACATTTCTTTCTCACATCAAGATTTATTTCCTTACTGGAATAAAGAAATACTGTAGCTGCTCCCTAAAACCAAAAGGGTGCAGTCACACTGATGTTCAGATACATTTTAGCCTGACTTCCCCTGAACGTCAGCTTGAATAGCATGAAAGGGGCTTACTGATATTTGTGTGATATGAGACGATTGGGACCATCTCAAGGTGACTGTGTTGTGCATAATGGATTTTATGCTCATTTTGTTTTCGTCTAGTAATTGATTTATATCTCTGCCACTGAATGATGTGACCTTGTCCTGTTTGCATGCTTACATACATGCACAGTAAGACACATCGCTGACATTAACCTTGATATGTGAAATGATCATTTAGACAGTTGAGTCAAAATGTAAAAATAACAATGGAAGCAAACTAAATACTCTAGTTCAGTTGGAAAATGATAGATTTAAGCTGTTACTAAGAAACAAATCATATCACAGCCTTGTTTTGAGCTCAGCTGCTTTTCCCCACTTGCTTTCAAGATATAAACACTAGTATCTCAGTTCCTTATATGACCATTTACATGAACTATATACTGTGTGTGTGTGTGTGTGTGTGTGTGTGTGTGTGT